AGTTTACTCAGTTTACTTATTTACGCATTTAATTAAGGTCACAGGTTTTCACGAAGATAGCCATACCTTTTTTTAGGTGCAGCCTATCACGAAATCACTCGGCAAAAAATAGCTGGCTGCTTTTTTAACACATTCGAAAATACACACACATTTAAGGCTTAATCAGTAGGACAATTTGGCTATGTACTTCATTCTAGCAAGATATTTTTGAAATCAGGGATTGTTACATTGCGCACGATGGTTCCCCGTAATTAGTTCACACTATCTGCTACCGTGTTTGGAATAAGAATAGTGTTTGATATCTATACTATAATTGACTTTATTAATTTGTCAATGGTAGCTTTTATAGATCATTCATAATAAAGACAATATATCATGTTGTTTCTGTTTAGAAGTCAATCGAATCGTGGGCGTTTTGATTAAGGTAATATGAAGCCGAATATATTTATCTTTGTTTTAATTAGAAACATAACATATTTCTTTTCAGGTGTTAAACGGCAGAAGCCTTATATAGATAATTAAAATATACATGCAAAAAATATATATTGAATCTGAACCAAAACCAAAAACATGTTCCCATCCTTTATGCAGTTTTTCTCGGCAACGAGAAACTTCAGGCTTCATGTAATGTAAAAGTACAACAGTACCTACATTCATATTAATGTCAAGGATTTTATACTGTATAATAAATTAAATTTCGCATTTTTAGTTGGAAATAAGTCTTTGCTTATTTTCTAACTCATTATCTAGAAATCTGGAATATTTAAAATAGCAAATAAGTCCGCGCAAAAATACTGATTTTATTAAGTAAGTCTGAAAAGAACAAAATATTATGCTGCTAATTCATTTGGGGTAAACCGTTTAGTAATGATTTCGTAAAAGGGCCATTAGCTTTTACGTCCAAATACAAACAGTCTTTTTTCATATAGGTATTTTGGAAATATTCTTACAGAATTGGCACCAACAGCCCTTTAAGGGCTACCCCCTTTTCTCATATTGTCTCAGGTTAGTGTACATTCTGGTTCTCATTGGCCGCCATACGGTGACCTACTTTGGTTCAAAATTCATATCTTTTGCCACCAATTTGTGCTTCAAAATCAACTATTTAAGAGCATGAAAGGTGACATGTCTGGAATCCGTTTGCACGCACGCATGCACAAAAGGCAGCATTATTTCTTGGTTGTTTTTTTACTAAATCATTTAGTACTACCTTTGAACGACACAGAAAACATATTTGTTGATAACTAACTAAACATTTATGTTGGGAAAATATTTTCATTCATCACTGTACATTTAGTCGAGCCATCGTCAAATTGAACATGAAGTTAACAGGTCACTGGGGCTGCTCGCCAGACATAAGCATGCAGCGCCTCATGCGCTTCGGCTATTTTATCAACCCAATCTTAGAACCATCCCTAATATGCATACATGACGAGAAACAAATATGTTAGGAATGTACTAAGCACCATTTAAACGGCATTCAGCTTTTTATTTTCTGTTGGAAAAACTGTTGAATTTATGTGTTGTTTCAAACTAAGTATTTCAGTTATTTTATATTGGATAAAAATGCATCATATCGCAGTTGAGCCTTCTTCAACACAGCGTCTCGGGAGCTATTTATAACGTTCGTTTATGAAAATAGAAGATCGGGGCTTCACTAATTTTAAAAAATATAGAGGGCGGACCGGAACAATACAAGTATTGAGGGGTTTCTTTATTGTTTATGTATTTTATCGTCTGAAAATTTCATTCTCTACTTTGACAATTAAAATAAACGATTTATATAAAAATAACATATTTAATCTTCAGAAAAGCTGAAGGTAGCTTTAAGCTTATTTCCGTGAGTAGGACGTCTTTGCTTGTTGAAGTATAGGTGTAATATAATCTGTGGAAGTAACGCAATTATTAGCAAAGTTTTAACGTTGTGACATGAACGTTACATAATTATTCACAAACGCACTTTTGCGTTTTGACGTGAGTTACGTAATTATTCGCAAATGAATTAACTTTGTGAGTGAAAGTTACGTAATTATTAGCAAATGCATTTACGATGTGACGTCAAACTTTCGTAATTACCCACAATTTCATATACTTAGTGACGTGAAAAAAAATTTATATCAGGATTATTTCAACAGTTGTTTTTTTATATTTACGTTGTGGATAACATATCCATTCAATTATTACCTTAACGAAGACAATTGTAGTGCTAAACATTTAAACATTCAATTATGTGTCCGTAAAATATTTACGAGAAAATCTGCTTAATCTTTAAATTATTTTATTCCATTCCGATTTATTAACAATTTTTAATAAATAAGGAAGGCTGTTACTAGAGTGGGCACTTGGAATGTCAAGGTCAAAACATCATAGTAGCACTGGTTTTGACCTATGGTAACTAACTCGTGAGGATGTGGTAGTGAGGATGTGGTACGAAAGAGTGATGTCTTGGATTGTCAGTCCTGCAGTCCTCTGGATAGATCTTCGTGACAAAGGAAAGGCTTTAACGGCGTAGAAATACTTCATGGTAAGACACCGCCTGTGTATTACAGAATGGGTCCGACAAGAGGCAGATATTTTAGCCCATATGGGTTTATTCCGTCGGCGAACATGAAATAAACACCGGATTACCGCTAAATAACGCCAACATTTGAAACACTAACTATCATAAAGTATCCCTAAAAGTCTTTCGGTTGGATGTATGACTCTGTGAACCGTTGATAGATCAATTTACATTTACTCATACATGTATTTTATTTAAAATAAGGAAATCGCCGAAAAAACTTTTTGGATTGCAATTTAGTTGTTAAATCGTCTAATGTGTTTTATTAGCGTCTTACTATTTCTTACACCGGAGAGGTAACTAACAGAAAGATCATTTGAGCCGCGTCACGACAAAACCAACGTAATGCGTTTGCGACCATCATGTATCCAGACCAGCCTGCGCGTCCGCGCAGTCTGATCAGGATCCATGCTGTTCGCTATTAGTTTCTTTATTTGTAATAAAGGTTGTTAGCGAACAGCATGGATCCTGGTCAGACTGCGCGGATGCGCAGGCTGGTCTGGATCCATACTGGTTGCAAACCCATTATGTTGGTTTTGTCGTGACACGGATCATTTGTACAATTGCTTGTTCATTTAAGAATATTGGTGTCAATAAAGGTTCTTTTCGCCCTGTGTTCTATATAACATAAATTACGTTACTTTTTTGTAAGTTATTATTGATGATTTTAAGTTCATGTAAGGGAATTTATGATACTTTAAAAATACATTTATGATGTGTATTTTCCGGTATTATACGTATAGAGGATCTAAACGTTACGTTTGTGTATACCTAAAAATTCACTTTTGTTGTTGTTGCTTACAATGAATTTACCTCTACCAATACCTGTATCCTATATGATTATGCTCTTTCAAAAGCGATTGTTCGCGTTATTTTGTTCCCCAAGCCAAACAAGATTCTTACTTGTGAATACATTCAATACAGGTATATTAATATACATTTTCATAACAGTCTTTACATTTCTTTATTATTTTGCTTGCATAGTTATAAAAGTTGTCGCAAGATTATCATATCTTATTATTTATTGTCTATTTTCTTTTCCATTAAATATAAAGGAATGAATAATGAAAAAAAAAAATGAAAAAATTTGCTGAATCTCCCTAAATACACCTTACATCATTTTTGGTTTATTTTAATTCTTTATAGACCCTTCCATTTAAGCGATTTGCGTCGCGACAGAGTTACCTCCCTTACCGGATGTGACGTAAATGGGGGATTGAAGTAAACATTTTCCCGTTAGTAGAACGGGAGAAATCGACCTGTCAACCGATAATTTGCCTTATATTCGGTAAGTTAACTTTGTCAATCGGTGTTATTTAATGGAAAACATAATAAACTTATAAAAAGATAAGTTATTTGCCTTGTCATTAGTAGTTATAGTGAAAAATCAATACAAATATCATTTTGACATTTGTTCTTCTGTCTACCAGATCAGCTGATCAGTAGCTCAGCCTCCTTGGATTGAATTCCAAACGTTAGATATTATGATATTTGGCAAAAGGTTTAGTATTGAATCAATGAATCGATCTATTAGTTGCTCAAATATTTCACAAATGTCACATGTCAGTTTCGTTTTCACTAACTATCTAACTGTATAAGTTGTACTGTAGTCTGTATGATCTGATCACATTCCCTCAGGCTCATATATATTTTAGATCATATAAATGCAAAAGCTGCTTGAAAAAAATTGAATATAATTTAATTATTTATTTCCAGATTATTTCAATCTGTGGCCATACAATTATCAAAGATGTCTTGAATTCAGTAGTTGTTTTGAATGATTCATGATGTCCTCCTCTGACAGTGATGAACCTTCAGCAGTTTTACAGAAGTGTACATGTACAAATGTAAGTATATTTATTATAATAGCTGATACAAGGTTGGTTCATTTAAAATTGATCTTCTTTTTTGCGAAGAAATGTGTCTTCCTACTTACTGCAACCAGTTTTCCAATGTTTATGTGATTACTTTTATCATAGATATGGTACATATGTATACATTTTCAGATTTTCAGGCACAAATCTGTCTATAGAAGGTAAACTGTTTCAATCAATGAAGATGGGATCAAAAGGAAACGATTGCACTCTAATGTTCCTTAAGTATACAGACTATACTTTCACACCATGTCACGTGGTTCTGTCGACGTCATGGTCAGTTATCGTTATGTTTACTTGCAGCTCTTGGGAACACTTATTAATCCCCTACGAATATGTTACATATATATTACACACACATGAAGCTTTTTCTTCATACAGAACTCTATTTGTATAATTATGTAAAAAGATGGTAAAGAGCATATGGAATGAATGTAACTTCAATACTGAATTTTTTGAACGAGATGAATAAAATTATTTTTTTACTCGAGCCTATCACAAGCATGAAATTATTTTATTCAACGAGTTCAATGAATTCAGTAATGAACCTACACGAATATAATATTTTATCTATAACATACCCCAAAATAAAGACTGAAAATTTGAAAAAGAATTATTTACATTGACGCGCATATAGCGTAATGCTACTTTTTAGCAAGTCTTTACACTATGTTTGTAAACTCAAATGACGGCGCGTCAAAATATACATACATGCACGGCCGTGCAATACCGTTTTTACAGACTTGCAAAAGCGGTACGGATATGTGATAAATAAATATATGAAACATTTATATCGTGTCTAAAGCATATAAACTAAAACATCATTTCAGTTCTAATAACTCCAATCAAATGACATGTTAATCATTTTGAAAAACCTTTTGTTTAATGGCCTAAAGTACTGTTCGAGTGAGATTCTGATATCACTGTCTATATCAGGATGTTCCCTTCCTTTTTTATCCGTTAAACAGTCTAGTTTATCCGGATCTATATTCAAACAGTATTTCTTTTTAGTTAAATTATAAGCAAACATTTCTGGCGTAAAATAATTCTTAATACCGAGAAAACGTTCGACTTTTTTCAACTCGCTCGCTGGATTCAATTCCATTTGGTGACCATCAAGCATCAGGATCTGCTCGCGGTTGAAATATTCCAACCAAACTTGCATATGTTTCGGATAGTTCGAAAATTCGATGAATCTTGAAGATGAATTGATTGTTTTATTATCGTTATATGTCACGCAATCTTCGAAACTTTTCCCTCCAACTTTCTTGTATTCTTTTAACATAGCATACATTGACACAGCTCGTGTAACCGGATCTTTTACTATGATAATTATTTTTGTTTTAGGATTCATATCCCGTATATTCTTAGCGGCTTCCCTTCTGTAGAAATATGGAGGCGACTTTTCTATGGTGATTTGATTTGGAAAACTACACGGCATCATTTTCCTGTACCAATCAATCGGATGATTTTGATAATTTCTACCGAAGAAATACTGTGCCTCGTACTGAAAAGCGGCTATTTCAGGATGCGCACCAAGAAATTTAACCAAAGCAGTTGTCCCACATTTCTGAATTCCAACAACTATCGCTCGTGGTAAACGTTTGACACATTTTCCTGCCTGTACTAGTTGAGTTCCATTTCCTTTACCATTTGATCCCTTACGAAGTAAGGATTTATTCTTCAAATTACCGTTTTTCGGAATTCTCTTTACTTCATAACCTTGTTGTTGTAATATTTCTATTGGGTAAGGCTCGTCAATTTTTGATGAGCACGCATTATACATGTATTGCGGTGAAATGACAAGTAAGATTGTCAAAACCGTTATAATGACAAAAAAGATTACGTGAACCTTCCTGGTTTTATGAAAATCCATGTTTTGCTCTCAGTAGGTACCTATAAAGATAAAAATAAAATATGTAAAATACTGTTTAAGAAAGAATCCCTAAAGACGGCAAAACTGAAAGTATTGCACGCTCGATTTGATTAAGCCTGTTCATGGAGATAGCAGGTAATTGCAAGTTACTCCCCCAGCCCAATCGCCTCGCTAAAGCAAAATTCAACACGTAACACGAATTGATATCATTTTGAACATTGCAATATTCGCAGATGTGTTCATATGCGGTTATCATGGAACCTTCAATGTGACATGTCAGTGCCATTCCATGAAAAGCTGTGTATGGTTCCCAAGTAATCAAATGCGCTTGCCCTAAACGAGGAATAATGGGCGAAATAAAATATTTCTGAAAGGGGATAAGAAAATATGGAGCCTGAATATCAAAGATAAGCTGTCAAAAGACGAAATAAAAAATTTAGGCATATCCTTAGGATGATTAAGTAAACCAACTTACAAAAACTATGTTCCCAATAACAATTATGGTCGTTTTATGTGAAATAAAGTACGAGGTACAAGTATTGGATATTTTAAAGGATAAACTAATATGCCTTTGAGAAAATTCAGACACACTTTAAAAACAGCTCCTCCATAAGGTTATATTAATATACATCTATGAATTAACTTCTTACTGAAAAGGTTAAAGTTAATGAAATATTGTAACAAAAACCTTATGATTTTAGAAAATAGTTTAACTGTAAAATGTGTTATAACATTTCGTTAAGAATTCTTAATAATTCGTTATCAATTATCATTACTTTCATATTTTTTCAACATATAATGTTTGCACGCAACATTTAAATTGCCTAAAAGAGCCATGTACATACAAAATAAATATTTTAAACCCACAGAGAAAAATAAAAATAAAACCTCAAGTAATAACTGAAATATTGAATGATGATGATAATAATAAAAATAATTATATAAAGTGATGATAATAATAATAATAAAAATAATAATAAAAATAATAATAATGATAATTATAATAATAATTATGTTTTCATTATTATTGTTAAACATATGGAATAAGAATATTATTTTGAATAATAAAAATAATTATATAAAGTGATAATAATATAAATTAAAAATTTAGAAAGAAAAATATATAATATTACAAACACATATAATTATTATGAATAATAATAATAATAATAATAATAATAATAATAACAAAATACTAATAATAAATATAATAATAATAATAATAATTATTATTATCATTATTATTTATCATTATATAAAATAATAATAACAGTAAAAATAATAATAAAATTAACAATATAACAGAAAAAATCAATAAAAAATGAGAAAGAAAAATATAAAATATTTAAAAAAAATTACAAACCTTGTTGCTTTCAATATCACTTAACTAGCACATAAAAGCCATCGTAGCATTTATTAAAGATTACTAAAGATTGTAACTCCAAAGACTAATCCTCCAAAAAACATTTGATTTGTATATACAAAAACCTCTATATACAACATGGACTTTATCACAGTTTTGTTCCATCTTAATTATAAATGTTGATTTTAAAGTATGGCTAAATTTTCGATACTTTTTGAAAAGCAAAACACTAATCGGAACGAGACGACGATGTGTTCCAACATGAATCAAAATATTCTTAAACAATCAGAAGCGTTAAGAAATTCTAGATGCGTAAAGAAGCACAAGTCTTAACACGTACATGTAAAATGTTTGTATGAACGGTCAAATAAAAGGGGTAAAAGAGATTAGTGCAAGGGACACAATAAAGTTACGGGGTGTCGGTTGAGATAAGTAGCTTATTCCGCGCTTTAACAAACATTGTTAGATACAAACACTATGTGTCTTAAGTACATGCGGTGGCTGGTAAATTCAGTGTGTTTAACTGTTGTGATCCTGGATGAAAACTGCCAACATCAACACATTATCGACTTTCTAAGTATTTGATCAAATACTAGTATTTGATTAATTTTGGTTGAGCCCTAGTAAGTGTAAGGGGCTTCATCAAACTTTTCGATCTGGAGCCAACTAGGCTATTTGAATATTAATTTATGTTGAAGTCTGAATTGATTCAAATTTATTTGCATGACTGAGAATTATTATTTTTATGTAGAAACAATTTGCTGTTTAAGCCGGTGCTAAGGGGACATGAAGTTGGTACTAAGGGGCGTGGGTGGTATCGTTCATTTTTCACTGCCGTGTACCAAAAAAAAAAAAAAAAAAAAAAAAAAAACCCAATCAAAAGCTCGCTATATTTTTGTCAGTTATGTACTACACGGGAAGCATGACAGGTAAAATGTCCCTCCAGATAAAAAGTCATGTAAAAATGTAGGTTAAATCAACCGAAATGAAACACGCAACAATGTTAAGTCATTTAAACATTATGTCATTCTACAGGTATCTGGCCTTTTCAACTTGGACATTGTACGCAAGTTTACTACGGCTTTCAATGTCATTACAAGGTTTTATGCTTAAATGTATATGTTACTTCTTTGTTGTTATAACAATTAGTGTATTCAAGCGTGTCTTATTTGTGAAAGTTCGTTTTGTATATTTTTTATTAAAGTCTATAAGGCCGCGTTGACATTGAAGATGTACAATGCATTTATATGGCAAGACTATGGATAGCCAGAGTACACCACCGCGAGAAGATGTTATTATTTTCCATTACGACAAAGGAAACTATCTTTGTCGTTTTTATTAACATCGACGACGATTGTACGATAAAGTTGAAAATATTTAAAATGATAATTATATACAACAACGATATTATTTTACACGTCTATTAACGTCTCGAATTGCATATAGATTGAATAAACGACTATGGCAGAAATGCCTATTAGATTGAATAAATAACTATGACAGAATTGCCTATATGATTGAATCAATGACTGACGGAAATGCCTATTGGATTGAATAAAAGACTTAGGCCGAATTTTCATCATTATCATCATCATCATCATCATCATCATCATTATCATCACCACGACGACGACGACCACCACCACCACCATCATCATCACCACCACCATTAGCATCATCAGCATCATCATCACCATCATCATCATTATCATCACCACCACCACAACTATCATTATCATTATCATCACCACCACCATCATTATCATCATCATCACCACCGCCATCATCATCATCATCATCATCATCATCATCATCATCATCATCATCATCATCATCATCTTCTTCTTTTCTTCTTATTCTTCTTCTCCTTATCATTATTATACGAGAAACTATTATCCTTTAAAATGTGACGTCTTCACGCATACAGCACCGCTTTGTTGGGAGCTATATTAATTTCAATGACAAATAAAGCTCCCCGGAGGACTATATTCGCCAAGAGCTAGGTGCGGCGTTACACTGCGTAAACTTAATTCGCTTTACTCTGTTTAACTTCTTTGAAGTGGCTTGTTCAGATTTTTCAAAATTGTCAAATTTTACCTAACAAATGTCAAAGTAAACAACAGATGCCATATGACATATATTGATAATCATATTTAGTCATGGGTTAGATGTCAGATTACGTATGTGATATCTCTGGACTACTTGAAATTTCTACTTGAAATAAAATTCAAACATACTAATAGTATTGATTTAGTGGTTTAAGATTTTATTTTTTGACATTCGTCCGTTTGACATGTAAGTCAACTGTAATTTTATTTGATAATCTAGAACACTGATGATCTAGAAAACACAGTCAGAACACTACGCTTCGGCAATGGTCGAAAAAGTAGTCAACAGAACTTTTTATAAAATCATATTCACTGGGTGAATTGGATTTTCCCAGTCTAAAAATAGATTGAGACTCATATTCAATTACAATATACCGTAGACTGTTAATCACGCGTGTTAATTAAAAAATAATTGTTGCGTTTTGTTCTTTATGGCATTTTTTTCCCAAATTTAAAATATCAAATTTTTTACTATAAATATATTTAAAGGGTTACAGCGAAAATGTTAGTATAAAAAATCAATTTATTTTTTACGCGGGGGCGTTCCGTAGTCTTTTGCACGCCTAAAAACGTCGTCTTTTTTCCCGCGGTTAAACAGGAAAAATTTTGTACCAGTTTTAAAAGGGTTTTATTTTTTGGGGGGTTTTTAAAAAAATTTTTTGGGGCCTATTCGAAAAAATAAAAAAATTTTTACTGGTGCCATTGAATATGTTTTTAATATTCAACCGGCAAAAAAGCCATATTGACCTCGGCTATCTGCCGGTAAAATAAACATTTTTCAAAGGTTTCCACTAAGTCAATTTTTGGGTATAATTTTGAAAAATTAAAAGGTTTAATTTTTTTTTTTTGTACAAGGGCATTTAGTTTTTCAAAATTTTCCAAAAAATGTAGGGTAGCATAAAAAAAATTGTAAAAAGGGTTGAGAAAACTATTTTAGAAGCCCATCATACTCAAATTAAATACGAAACTATGGAAGATCGTGCATGCAAAATTTATTTTTAGATTTGTTCTTCCTGTTAAACCAAAATCAAATACGAATCTTCAGATTGTCTAAATTTAAATATTGGTACTTCATATGGTATCGTATTCTTTACCTGAATAAAGAGCATTTAAAGATTTATTGATAAGTTATTCCGACTTCCAGATAAGTCAGTTTGAACTATTTTAAGATTGTCTTGCGATTTCAATCATTATGTACAAAGTACAAAAATAAACTGAGGTTGCGCATTAATATGGAAAGTCAATATTTATTATTCCTTGAATAAATACAATAGTCATTCAGACATTTAGAAAGTTTTGCATAAATGTTATTTAAATAACAATAAATTTACCCATAAACATTGACATGTTGTCTTTGTTAACAAATATGTTGTGGTGAAATTCTTTTTGTATCTACTTATCTGTTAATAAGAATTGGACTGGTCAGAGATCTATGCTTTGAATTTCAATGTGTACAACATAAATACATGTATATACAGTAAGCATACACAACACGCTGATAGATTTCGTGGATTAGAAAACAAGTTAAACGTGAAATCTGTAAATTCTTTTAGACACATAAGATACTTGCAGTAGAAAAATATGCACATATTTCGTTAGAATAATACAGAAAAAAGCAAATTAGATTAATAAATGGAATAAATAAATTTGTTAGAACACTGTTGCCTTGAGTATAAGAATAAGAAAATGTTTATTTCACGATTATTTCATTATATTTAAGAGATCACTCCAAACAGTTTCTATTGCAAAAATAAAATATTGTTTTCACTAGTATCTTATTTAAGTTAATTATTCAGATTGTTTTATATAGAATGTTTCGAAGAAAAGGGAGACACAAATATTTATCTTTAGTTTAGAGTTAAGATAAAGAACGGAAAATATAAGTCTGCACACAGTATTATCGGTTAAAGTTTCTTTTTAATTTCAAAGAGATTCTTACTGGCCTATATAAGGTAATTTTTTACCTCTTTTGTGTTTTGGCAGCTAGTACAGTTATGGCAGTAAAATAAATTTATGGAAAAGATTTTTTTTTTCACATTTTCGCTACCTTTATCACAATTTATTTTCCGTGCAAATCTATTTTCTTTGACATAATAAACACGTGTTTTTGCTTTCAACACAAGATACAATTTATTCATTTCTTAAGTTAAATATGACCTTAATGTTATTTTTTAACTTATCCATAGCAATACACAATGCTTCTGACCCAAGCGTGAGTAAATTGTCTGGGATTGAAGTAAGAAAATAATAAAACTGTAGTTATGTTTTTGTTTCATCAGAATACTTCTTATTCCTTAAAAAAGGTCATTTTCATTTAGCCATTAATATTAGTATTAATTCAAGATATAATCTAAGCCAGTATAATAGCTACTGTCGTATCATTGTTTTAATTCACTTTCAAATTCATTGATGTTTCATATGTGATTGTGAATTTTAATTCATAGATGTTTAATATGTGATTGTGAATTTTAATTCAGATGTTTTATATGTGATTGTGAAATTAAATTCATAGATGTTTAGATGAATTGTTATATAATTATGAACTTAAATTCATAGATGTTTTGATTAATTGTTATATAATTGTGAATTTAAATTCAAAGATGTTTTGATGAATTGTTATATGATTGTGAATTTGAATTCAAAGATGTTTGTTGAATAGTTATATGATTGTGAATTTAAATTCATAGAGGTTTTGTTGAATTGTTATGTAATTGTGAATTTTAATACAAAGATATTTTGTTGAATTGTTATATTACTGTGAATTTAAATTCATAGAAGTTTTGTTGAATTGTTATATGATTGTGAATTTAAATTCATAGATGTTTTGTTGAATTGTTATATAATTGTAAATTTGAATTCATAGATGTTTTGTTGAATTGTTATATGATTGTGAATTTAAATTCATAGATGTTTTGTTGAATTGTTATATAATTGTGAATTTAAATTCATAGATGTTTTGTTGAATTGTTATATAATTGTGAATTTAAATCATAGATGTTTTGTTGAATTGTTATATAATTGTGAATTTAAATTCATAGATGTTTTGTTGAATTGTTATATAATTGTGAATTTAAATCAAAGATGTTTTGTTGAATTGTTATATTATTGTGAATTTAAATCATAGATGTTTTGTTTAATTGTTATAAAATCGTGAATTTAAATCATAGCTGTTTTGATGAATTGTTATATAATTGTGAATTTAAATTCAATGATGTTTT